TTTAATTTCTTAGTACTTAAAATGCATGATATTTGAGTTTATATGTGGTTTTTGGTAGCCACACATGGGATTATGTGATCGTCCTTTATTAAATAAATATGCTTTGATGGCAAAGTTAATAATCATTGGAGTACGATGATGTTGTGTTCGGATAAACTGTCTGAGGTGCGACTAATTTGATTGCCTTTTTATTTAATACAAATAAAAAAAAAAACCCATCATTGCCTTTTTATTTTCTTTATAAATTTTTTTTTTGGATATCCAGGTTCCGGAGCCACAACCCGACTAATCCTGGACCTTGAGCCGGGAGCCCCCTACCCGACCCCGGGGGTTAAATCGCGAGACGTGCTACAACAATGGTCCAGCCGCTCCCCTTTTTACCCTTGTGCACCAGAAGAATTGCTCCCCTTTATAATGTTTTTTTCATATGAAATAATGAGCAAAATAATGGAAAATAATTTCAAATTAAGGGTAATGGAAAATCGAAGATCCATATGAAATAATGAGCAAAATTGTTTCATTGTGTGCAAGATCACAATTTACATGAATAATTATGCATAAGCATAGGAGCTAAGCTGAAGAAAGTAGAAAATAAGTGAATTAAATAGTTAACTGGTGTAAGCGACGGGCCAATTTTTTACCGCATGCCAATTTTTTACCGCACTGCTGGAAACCGGTTTTCGTATACAAATTAAAAGTCAAACACTATTTTTTGTATTAAGGGTTTAATCTCTTGTTGAGGCCACCCAATCTATTTTGTTAATAAAAATGCATCCATATGAAATATCATTGGTATGGCATACTAGGGCTGAGCATGTGTCGGTACGGTTGGAGAGTTGTCAATCTCCGAAACTATACTGAAGTTTGGAGATTAGTAAAATTCAATCTCCAGAACGGTACCAAAAAATCGGTTCGATTCGTTTCAGTTCAGAGATTTGAATATTTAATAATTTTTAATTTTTTTGAATGGTCACATAGTTGTATTTTAATTTATATATATATTTTTTAAAATCCAACGTGCATCAGTACTTTATCATACTAAAAATTTTATTTTAAATCAACTAGAGAAATAACTCGAAATTTTAGTTAAGACTAAATTTATGCAACTTACATTGAAAATGCAAAACTAAAAGCCTTGACTATCCACGTGTGCATGCATCCATGCACAAGCCACCATGTCACAAGTCCAGTCAGCAATCTTACCTGTCCATCACAGATGAGGAGAACGAGCTGCATGATCCCATGCAAAAGGATAAATAGCTGAAACTGATTTTTCCCCTCTGGTGTACTATTGCCTTAGGGGTAATTCCCACATTATTTTGGTTTTTCCCTATTTTACCTAGGACAATTGTAATGGTTCTGTATAATTCTTTTCCCTTGTATAAAGCCACCTTAGAGGTTGTGAACAATTAATGAAATGAACATCTTTTAGAGAAATCAAAATCCCTTATATCATCTTCTCTACAAAATTTTATTTGAAGCTTTTCTTGTCATGCTAAACATGGAAAGCTTTTATGGTATCAGAGCACCAGACTGATCTGGTGGGCTCTATACCTGTTTTCCTTTTTTTTTATTATTCTTCACTTCTCTATTTATTAGCCATGTCTTCTTCCTCGGCTATTTCCACCAATCAAGATCAAAGTCAGTTGGTATTTCCTCAAAGTCAACTTATCTCCTCAAAACTAAATGAAGCCAACTACCTAGTATGGCATCAACAGGTCCTAGCTGCTATCAAAGGCTATGGAATCTTTCATTTCATTTCTAGAAATCAGAAAATTCCAGAGGAGTTCATACAAGGAAGCTCCAATGAAGTCACCCCAACCCAGATTTCATCATTTGGGCAAGACAAGACCAGATCTTGGCATCTTGGCTATTATCTTCATTAAGTGAACCAATCTTGGTCACAACTGTTGGGTTAACCACCTCAAAAGAGATCTGGGACAGCCTGGAGCTTGGTTTTTCTAGCCATTCCAAAGCCAGGATCTTGCAATAAAAGCTCAAGCTGCAGACCATGAAAAGGGGAGGCAGCAGCATGAGAGATTATCTCAACCAAGTGAAATCATGTTGTGACACCTTAGCTGCAGCTGGCCAAAGAATTTTTGAGGAAGAACAAGTGATGCACATCTTAGCCGGCTTAGGGCATGATTACAACCCCAGTGATGGAGACGAGGCCGCGTTGATGTTCTTGCAGAAATATGACCGTTTGCGTGTCTAACACATTTATTTTATTGCTTTATTTTCCTTTTGGGTCTATTTATCTTTAGTGG